AATGTCGAGACAGTGTATGACAGCAATAAAGAAGGCCAATGCTATACTGGGGATTATTAGGAAGGGTATTGTAAACAGATCAGCCAATATCATAATGCCCCATATAAATCAATGGTGAGACCTCATTTGGAATACTGTGTGCAGTTCTGGTCACCACACCTTAAAAAGGATATTATAGCTTTGGAAAAAGTGCAGAAAAGGGCAACTCGAATGATAAAAGGGTTGGAACACTTTCCCTATGAGGAAAGGTTAAGGCGCTTAGGGCTCTTTAGCTTGGAGAAACGACGACTGAGGGGAGACATGATCGAGGTTTATAAGATTATGCATGGGAAAGAGCAGGTAGAGAAAGAGGTACTTTTCTCCCTTTCTCACAATACAAGAACTCATGGACACTCCATGAAATTGCTGAGTGGTCGGGTTAGAACAGATAAGAGGAAGTACTTCTTCACCCAAAGAGTGATTAACACTTGGAATTCACTGCCACAGGAAGTGGTGGCGGCTACAAGCATGGACGGCTTCAAAAGGGAAATGGATAAGAGGAAGTACTTCTTCACCCAAAGAGTGATTAACACTTGGAATTCACTGCCACAGGAAGTGGTGGCAGCTACAAGCATGGACGGCTTCAAAAGGGAATTAGATAAGCATATGGAGCAGAGGTCCATCAGTGGCTATTAGCCACAAGGTATAGATAGGGGCTCTGGGGCAAGTGATGCTCTGTCATCTTGGTGCTTGGGGGGGGGGGTCAACAGTGGGAGGGCTTCTAATGTCCTGGCCCCACTGGTGGACCTCCTGATGGCACCTGGTATTTCTGGCCACTGTGTGACACAGAGTGTTGGACTGGATGGGCCTTTGGCCTGATCCAACATTGGCGTCTCTTATGTTCTTATGTTCTTAATGTCTGCTGGGATACAGGCATGCATGCGTCCTAATACTGTCTTGGAGAGAGAGGAAATGCCTCTTCTAACATGCTGCATTCGGCAAGGCAGGTATATATCATGACTTCCTGCTAGAGGAGGCATTCCCTCCGAGAATGACACTGGGAATGCCTCTCCTAGGATGGCGACCAAAACGAATGCCTGCTGGGATACATGCATGCCTCCTAATACCATCTTCGTAGAGATGCTTGCTTTGGAAAGAAATTTCCTCTTCTAATCGGTTGCTTCTTGTACAATTGCTCTTTTAACTAGGGTTTTTTTCGTAGAAAAAGAGGTGCAGGAGCTCTTAGCATGGCGTATTAGCATAACTTATTTGCATATGCCACACCCCCTGACATCACCGGAAGCTCAGGCTCCACTGGGACTGTTTTGAATTGTTAGCTGTTGGGTGGGGGGAATGTGCAGATCTGTCCTTGCAGAGGAAGGAGAGCTTGTACCTGAATAAAACTTGGTCTTCAAGGTGCCACTGGACTGTTTTGGATTGCTAGCTATGGGGGGGACACGCACAGATCTGCCCTCACAGAGGAGGGAGAGCTTGTACCTGAAGGCGGGCCGGGGGGGGGCCTCTGCAACTTACCTGGCTGCTTCTTGCTTCTCGTAGCCTGACCGAGGGCTGCTGGGAGCAGGGGGTGGGGTTTATTGCATATGCCCACTTCCTGGGCTCTTTACTGCCGGAGCTCCGCTCCTGTACGCTCCTGCAGGAAATGACCCCTGTTTTTACCAGAACCATGGTTATTTCCTCTTTCATGTATCTAGAGAGCCATTTTGGTGTAGTGGTTAAGAGCGTGGACTCTGTTCTGGGAAAACCAGGTTTGATTCCCCACTCCTCCACATGCAGCCAGCTGGTGTGACCTTGGGTCACTTACAAGTTTTCTCAGAGCTGTTCTCTCAAAGGCAGTCCTCGAAAGAGCTCTCTCAGCCCCACCTCCCTCACAGGGTGTCTGTTGTGGGGAGGGGATGGAGAAGGAGATTGTAAGCCACTCTGAGACTCCTTTGGGTAGTGAATGGTGGGGTATAAATTCAATCTCCTCCTCCTCCTCTTCTTCTTCTAAGGGAAAGGTGTTGTTTTTGTCTTTCTGTTCCCCACTCCTGTTCTTTCATCTTTCAGGACCACTCAGTCAGCCCTCTGGTCATGGCCTCCACCCTCTCCCACCAACTAGGCCATAACCTGGGACTCAGTCACGACGGTGCCGGTTGCGGGTGCGATGGGTCCAGCCCCAACCTCTCTCCCAGCCGCAACTGCATCATGGAGCCACCGGGGTGAGTGTGTCTGCGTGTACTGGGTTCGAATCCTGTGAATGGGGAGGTGCCCGAGCTCTGAATTCCTCTCTCCTCTTCTACAGGTTGATGCCCGGGTTGAGGTTTAGTCACTGCAGCCACCGGCAGCTCCAAGACATCCTCCAGAGCAGCCGGGTGTGGTGTCTCCAGGACGTGCCTGAGCCAACCCGCCTGATCAGGCCCCGCTGCGGGAACCACCTTGTGGAATCGGGGGAAGGATGCGACTGCGGTCTCCGGGAGGTAGGAAAAAATCTCCCCATCTCTTTCCTTGTGCACCTTTGGGTGTGCACCAATGTCATGTGCATGGTTTAGTTAAGAACGTTGTTGGCGCCAGTGTTCCCTCTAAGCTGAGTTAGTGTGATCTAGCTCACAGTTTTTTAGCCTCTGGCTCACACATGTTTGTCTTAACTCAGGAAGGACGGCTCCAGAGCAAACTAATGTATGCAGCAGCCAGATCGCTCGCTCACAACTTTAATGCCAGTAGCCCACAAAGTAGAATTTTTGCTCACCAGACTTCACTGCTTAGAGGGAGTATGGGTTGGCGCAACTCCCAGTTGAAGCGGGGTGTAGAGGGGAGGGCAGTGCCTCCAAAGCTATCAATGTTCGAAGGGTTTTTGTTGGGTGAGGAAACCTGGGATTCCTGGGGGAAGCTCTCAGGGCCGGGGGTGTTTGAGAAAGGGGCAGCGGAAAAAATGGATTTTGAAATCGTGGTTGAAATCGCCAAGACGGGGAACAAGATATGACAAATTGCTGACAGGAGTAAAAATGTTCCATTTGGGGGGGAAGGCATACGGGTGTGTGTTAAGTCCTGTTAAGTTGCTTCCTACTTACGGCGACCCTATGAATGAATGACATCCAAAAACGTCCTATCATGGGCAGCTTTGTTGAGGAAGTCCTTCTTCACCCAAAGAGTGATTCACACATGGAATCCCAAGCCGCAGGAAGTGGTGGCGGCGGCTACAGGCACAGAAAGCTTCAAGAGGGCATTGGATAAGCATATGGGGCAGAGGTCCATCAGTGACTCTTGGCCACGAGGTCTAGATGGAACACGATGTCTGGGCCAAGGGATGCTCTGTCTTCTTGGTGCTTGGGGGGGGTGGGGCAACAGTGGGAGGGCTTCTAGTGTCCTGGCCCCACTGCTGGACGACCTGATGGCACCTGGTATTTCTGGCCACTGTGTGACAGAGTGTTGGACTGGATGGGCCATTGGCCTGATCCAACACTGGCTTCTCTTAAAGGTAAAGGTTCCCTTGCTCGAAAGCCAGTCGAATCCGACTCTAGGGTTGCCGTGCTCATCTCCGTTACAAAGCCGAAGAGCCAGCGCTGTCCAAAGACGTTTCCGTGGTCATGTGGCCGGCATGACTAAACACCAAGGCGCACGGAATGCTGTTACCTTCCCACCGAAGTGGAACCTATTTATCTACTTGCAATTTCTTGCTTTCGAACTGCTAGGTTGGCAGGCTTCTCTTATGTTCTAACAAATAGTGGCAGACCTCTGTTTGTTGCAAGCGGCCATTCGATTGCCGCTGCCTGTCCTGTTCCGCTCCCCTGGGCAAAGGCCAGCCCTTCGTGTGAACCGACGGCTCACTCTCTTGAGCCTCCTCCAGAACCCAAGGTGCAAGGGTTCCATGATAGATTCTAGCTGTGTGCAAACAAACAAACAAAATTGTATTTTTCAGATTCAGGTCTATTGGACCCGGAAAATATCAGTATTCCCGGGTATACCCAAATTCCAATATCGAGACTGAATTCCCTAACAGTCAGGTGGGTGAGCCCATCTGGTGTTAGGCTGACATGGCTGGAAGCCAATTCATCGATTCTTTTTGCTCCCACTCCCCGCTTCCAAATGGGGGGGGGGGGGCGAAAGGGAACGATGGAATGGGATTGCCCTCCCCGCTGTTTGGTTTAAATGGTCACACACCCCTAATGGAAACATAGGGATCATTTGCACATGGTGCAGGCAGATGTTTGAAAAACATTTGCCATTGCCAACACAGGAGTTGTGGTGCTGCTCCTTGGGGTGTGGGGTGCAGGCGAAGCAAAGATGACAGACAAGCTTGCAGGAACTGTCTGAATGAATGAAGGAAGGAAGGAACCTCCTCCTCTCACGCAGCAGGTTTATTTATACACCTTTCTTCCCCCTTCTCCCCCCCTCTCCCTCCATAAGGGAGTTACAAGCATTATAGCATCCTTTTGGAATGTGTGTGTGTGTGTGTGTGTGTTCTCTCAGGCAAGTTCTTATCAGTTGCTCCCCCTCTTCAAGGTTAAACCATCTGCGTAGTGAGCAGTAAACAGATTCCATCTTGGCCTCTTATGACGTATAAGTATTTCAGCTCCCAACCTCCAGCCAGGAGAATAGTGATTTATTCTGCACTGCTGTCCTACAAGGAGTGAAGTGCTTGACTGCATGGGGAAGCAATGCTTGAAGAAGGAAGGGGCGAACGTGCCTATTGATGCTTGGTGAGGGCCTGCCTCCCCTTTGCTCATCTTACTGCAACCTGGTATATCTTTCATATTCGGTCAAATGAGGGTCTGAAGCAGCCTAGCTTCTTGCTGGAGTTTTTAGAATCAGTAATCTATCTATCTCTCCCCTCCTTCTTTTCCCCTCAGGAGTGTGCAGATCCGTGTTGTAATGCAACCTCGTGCCAACTGATGCCCGGAGCTCAGTGTGCCACTGGGGGAGCCTGTTGCCATGAATGCAAGGTAAGTCGCCACAGCAAAGGTGGGGCACACCTTTGCCATAGATCAGGGGTGTCAAACGTATGGCCCGTGGGCCGCAGCTGGCCCATCCAAGGCTCTTATCCGGCTCGTGAGCAACTGGTCATTACCTGTATTGCCAGATGGCCGAGGCTGTGCGTCGTGTTTCTGTATACTGTCCCAGTGCTGATGTGTAAATGGGCGGTGGAAGCGGGAGGGCGGGCATCAGGGAGGTACTGTCAGGAAATACTGTGAGAGTGTTGATGTTTTAAGCATGTTTGTATGTTGAGTAAAAAATAATATCGTTAACTGGGTTTCCCTGTGTCCTTTATAAAGTTTATATCTCCGGTACCGGGCATTACATTTTATGGCACACATGGCCCGGCCCGACAAAGTGACATTTATGTCACATCCGGCTCTCATAACAAATGAGTTCGACACCTCCGCCGTAGATCCGTGTGCTTCCCCTCCCACCCAGTCTTGCGTCCCTCCCCGATAAAATGTGCTCATCACAGGCCTTTATTTGGGGCAAATCGTGCACATTGCCTGGGCATGTGGGTGGGCCAACTTTAAACATGCATACATATCACACAAATACAGATGTGTGCATCTGTAGCCATTGCTTAAGGAAAAAACGGGGCGTGCGTAGAACGATGGTATCATAAGGACAACGGCTGAGCTCTGAACCAGTTCGTGTCTCCACTTTGCCATGGACTTGCTAGGCAGGTTTAGGCAGATTCCTCACACACAGACCCTGTCTGCAACACGGTGTTAACGATAATGACCCCCCACCCCCCGCAGGGCTGTAAGGATTTGGGCAGTAGCTGTGTTGGTCTGAAGCAGCAGGACAAAGTTTGGGTCCAGTGGCACCTTTAAGACCAACAAAGTCTTTTTCTGGGCATGAGCTTTCGTGTGCAGGCACACTTCCTCAGATGTGGAGCTTATACCGAACTCCAGTTTGGGAAACTCCTGAAGCTTTTAGGGGTGGCGTCTGTGTGTGTGTGTGGGGGGGGAGTTTGTGGAGGGTAGCGAGCTCAGTGGGATGCAATTCCGTCAAGTCCACCTTCCAAAGCAGCCATTTTCTCCAGTCTGGAGATCAGCTGTAATGAAGAAGAGGAGATTGGATGTATACCCCGCCCTTCACTACCCAGAGGAGTCTCAGAGCGGCTTACAAACTCCTTCCCCTTCCCCTCCCCACAACAGACACCCTGTGAGGTAAAAGAAGAAGAAGAAGAAGAGATTGGATTTATACCCTGCCCTTCACTACCCAGAGGAGTCTCAGAGCGGCTTACAAACTCCTTTCCCTTCCCCTCCCCACAACAGGCACCCTGTGAGGTAAAAGAAGAAGAAGGAGAGATTGGATTTATACCCCGCCCTTCACTACCCAAAGGTGTCTCAGAGTGGTTTACAAACTCCTTCCCCTTCCCCTCCCCACAACAGACACCCTGTGAGGTAAAAGAAGAAGAAGAAGAAGAGATTGGATGTATACCCCGCCCTTCACTACCCAAAGGTGTCTCAGAGTGGTTTACAAACTCCTTTCCCTTCCCCTCCCCACAACAGGCACCCTGTGAGGTAAAAGAAGAAGAAGGAGAGATTGGATTTATACCCCGCCCTTCACTACCCAAAGGTGTCTCAGAGTGGCTTACAAACTCCTTCCCCTTCCCCTCCCCACAACAGACACCCTGTGAGGTAAAAGAGGAAGAAGAAGAAGAAGAGATTGGATTTATACTCCGCACTTCACTACCCAAAGGAGTCTCAGAGCGGCTTACAAACTCCTTCCCCTTCCCCTCCCCACAACAGACACCCTGTGAGGTAAAAGAAGAAGAAGAAGAAGAGATTGGATGTATACCCCGCCCTTCACTACCCAAAGGTGTCTCAGAGTGGTTTACAAACTCCTTTCCCTTCCCCTCCCCACAACAGGCACCCTGTGAGGTAAAAGAAGAAGAAGGAGAGATTGGATTTATACCCCGCCCTTCACTACCCAAAGGTGTCTCAGAGTGGCTTACAAACTCCTTCCCCTTCCCCTCCCCACAACAGACACCCTGTGAGGTAAAAGAGGAAGAAGAAGAAGAGATTGGATTTATACCCCGCCCTTCACTACCCAATGGAGTCTCAGAGCGGCTTACAAACTCCTTCCCCTTCCCCTCCCCACAACAGACACCCTGTGAGGTAAAAGAAGAAGAAGAAGAAGAGGAGGAGGTTGGATTTATACCCCGCCCTTCACTACCCAAAGGAGTCTCAGAGCGGCTTACAAACTCCTTTCCCTTCCCCTCCCCACAACAGGCGCCCTGTGAGGTAGGTGGGGCTGAGAGAGCTCTTCACAGAGACTGCTCTTTTTCAAGAGCAGCCCTTATCAGAACTACGGCTTGCCCAAGGCCGTCCAGCCAGGTTCAAGTGGAGGAGTGGGGAATCAAACCCGGTTCTCCCAGGTTAGAGTCCACCACTCTTAACCACCACACCAAACTGGCTCACCTGGCTCTTCCAGGGGATCCCGGGTCTCGCCTGGAGGTTGGCAACCCCAGGGCCATATAATATTCTTCCCACTGCACCATTTTTTGTTTGTTTGTTCTTTTGCTACACCGTTGGTGTGGCCCTCCTCTCTTGCATGTAGAAGTATCCTGTGTGTTATGTGCCGTCAACCCTGTGAATTAATGTCCTCCGAAACGTCCCTTCGTTAACAGCCTTGCTCAGGTCTTGCAAACTGAGGGCCTTTGTGGCTCCCTTGATAAAGTCTATCATGTTGAGTCTTCCTCTTTTCCTGCTGCCTTCAGCTTTTCCTATCATTATTGTACCCGTGTCAATATCAGTGGGTGTCTTGCCTTGAATGTCCCTCTGTAAGTTCCTTGTACATCATTTGATCAAAAGTGACTGTCAGACACATTTGACTTAATCCTGGGGTGTCAAACATGCGGCCCGGGGGCCAGATCAGGGCCCCCCCCGGAGGGCTTCTATCAGACCCGCAGTAGAACTGCCTGTCTTCTGCCGCTTCTTCCAGTTCTGCTGCTGCTGCATCATCGTAGGTTTGCAGCTGACAGATATACACCTGAACAGCACACTCAACATTGCAGCAGCACAGACATTTTGATGCAAAAGCTCAGAGCAAGAGGTGTCAGTTATCAGACACTGTTAAATAGACAAAATATTGCAAGAGTGCTAATGTTTTAAGCATGTTTTTATTTTAAGTTAAAAAAAAAAACCCCTTTGTGTTTGTGTCCCTTATCAAGCTTATATCTCCGCTACCCGGCTCAAGTGGTTAAGACGCTGAACTGCAGGCTGTGGAAGGTCGGTAGTTCAGCAGTTCGAGACCCAGGGGGGCCGCATGATGGAGTGAGCTCCCGTCTCTAGTTCCAGCTCCTGCCAACCTAGCAGTTCGAAAGCAAGAAATTGCAAGTAGATAAATAGGTACCACTTCGGTCGGAAGGTACCAGCGTTCTGTGTGCCTTGGTGTTTAGACATGCCGGCCACACGACCACGGAAACGTCTTCGGACAGCGCTGGCTCTTTGGCTTTGAAACGGAGATGAGCACCGCAACCCTAGAGTCGGATTCGACTGGCTTTCGAGCAGTCCTTTACCTGGCATTACATTTTATGACACACATGGCCCGGCCTGACCCGACAAGGTCTCATTTATGTCAGATCCAGCCCTTGTAACAAATGAGTTCGACACCCCTGACTTACTTTGCATACTTCGTTTATATCCCGCCTTCCTTCCCCAATGTGGACCCAAAGCGGCTTCCATCCTTCTCCTCTCCTCCATTTTATCCTCACAACCACCCTGTGAGGTAGGCTAGGCTAGGCTGAGAGAGTGTAACTCGCCCAAGAGTCACTCAGGGAGCTTCCATGGCAGAGCAGGGATCCGACATCCACAAAGAGTGGGGAAGAAAAACTAAACCAACCAAGCAAAAACCTCCAGAGGAAGTTTAGAAAACCAGTTAAGGGCCAAAAGTTAAAAACATCAATAGGTATGTGTTATTCAATTCCAGACTGGAAGTAACTATATTAAATTAGGGTACAGTAAAATAAGCATTTTAATATCGGATGGGATTTTTCAATTGGGTAATGTAATATTAATCAAATATTTTTTAAATTTTCCCTGTACGGCATTCCATTTTTGGTCCTATATCGATTATTTACTGCCTTACAAGCGTAACAGGGGCTTTGTGGCATGTTGCACTCTGTACTGTTTGACCTCTGAAGAAGGCTTTTGTGGGCCGAAACGCATCAGCTGATACATGGTTCTTTTCGTGCGTTTTTCACTTGATTATGTTACGAAGATTTATTTGGGCCCCTACAAGGTTTTTATTTGTTTTTTGAAATACACACGTGTACTTTTGTCTGTACTTATTGATGTTTTGTAACCTTTGGCCCTTAACTAGTTTTCTAAACTTCCTTTGGAGGTTAGAGCAAGAATTCGAACCTGGGTTTGCCGCAGTCCCAGCCTGGCACTCTAACCATTACGCCACGCTGTCTCGCATCCGCCGCCTGTTCCCCTTGACAGCAGTGTTCCCCTTCCGTCTGTCCTTCTCCAGCTGCGAGGGGCCGGTTTTGTCTGCCGCGGGGTGCAGAACGAGTGCGACCTCCCCGAATTCTGTGACGGCGTCTCCCCGCGCTGCCCCCCCAGCGTCCACAAACAGGACGGGACGCCCTGTGCGGAAGGCAGAGCCATTTGCTACGGAGGGGCCTGCCCCACCTACTTGGCTCAGTGCCGGGAACTTTGGGGCCCAGGTGAGTGGCGGTCGAAGGACGTTCATAGAACGGTGGATTTACGGTGCGGGGTGGTGCAGGAGCAGGACTGGGAAGGCCGGGGTCTGCGTCTGCTTCACCTTTTTGCCTGGTTCTCCACCCGTGCATCCTGACCTTCTGTGTGTCTCCTGGCAGGTTCGGTCCCTGTCTCCGAGGCGTGCATGGCTTCTCTGAATGGCAGGGGGGATCTGGAAGGCCACTGTGGGCAGCTTCCCAATGGCTCCTATGTTCCTTGTGCTCAGAGGTGAGTGCTGTCTCCTCCCCCCCCCCACAGAAGCACCTGTCAGAGCCAAAGAGCTACAGTTTGTTAGGGCAGCCCCATCAAGCTGGGGTGTTATGAACAGAAGAACATGAGAAGAGCCCTGGTGGATCAGACCAGTGGTCCAGGCCTGTGCAGCCTCCTGTGTCACACAGTGGCCTCAGCCAGTTCCTCTGGAGGACCGACAACAGGGCAGAGAGGCCGAGGCCTTCCCCTGGTAAGAACATCAGAAGAGCCCTGCTGGATCAGACCAGTGAGGGTCCCTCTAGTCCAGCATCCTGCCTCACACAGTGGCCTCAACCAGTTCCTCTGGAGGGCCAACCACAGGGCAGAGAGGCCGAGGCCTTCCCCTGGTAAGAACATCAGAAGAGCCCTGCTGGATCAGACCAGTGAGGGTCCCTCTAGTCCAGCATCCTGCCTCACACAGTGGCCTCAACCAGTTCCTCTGGAGGGCCAACCACAGGGCAGAGAGGCCGAGGCCTTCCCCTGGTAAGAACATCAGAAGAGCCCTGCTGGATCAGACCAGTGAGGGTCCCTCTAGTCCAGCATCCTGCCTCACACAGTGGCCTCAACCAGTTCCTCTGGAGGGCCAACCACAGGGCAGAGAGGCCGAGGCCTTCCCCTGGTAAGAACATCAGAAGAGCCCTGCTGGATCAGACCAGTGAGGGTCCCTCTAGTCCAGCATCCTGCCTCACACAGTGGCCTCAACCAGTTCCTCTGGAGGGCCAACCACAGGGCAGAGAGGCCGAGGCCTTCCCCTGGTAAGAACATCAGAAGAGCCCTGCTGGATCAGACCAGTGAGGGTCCATCTAGTCCAGCCTCCTGTCTCACACAGTGGCCTCAACCAATTCCTCTGGAGGGCCAACAACAGGGGAGGGGAGCCACAGCTTTTGGGGAGGGGAGGGGCCTCTGCAGGGTACAGTGTCATAGAATCCACCCTCCAAAGCAGCCATTTTCTCTAGGGGATATCCGCCGTCATTCCTGAGCATCTCCAGGCCCCACCTGGAGGTCGGCAACTCTTTTAACCAGGCATCATCTCATAATGACAAAGCATGATTTTTCGTTGTCTAAACAAAGCGTATACTTATCTAAAATGGGTATGCTTTTGTTCTTTTTTAATTTAAAAACACACACGCACGGAATAAACGGATAATTTAAACCTCTTCTCTTCTCCGAGATCGAAATTATATGTTTATGTAGAAGAGAATATTTAGATAATGTGCTGTTTTTATCTGAAAGAGCGATCTAGCAATCGTGATCTGATTAGTAGCTGCTCGGATGAAAATAGCTTTCTGTTGGGAGGGGGGAACCTTTCTCGGCCCCCCGTCATTGAGCGGTTTAATAGACAGAGCTATAATGTCATGAAAATCATTTTATAGCACATCTAGGAAGGGCGGAGTGTAGAGGATAAGTGCGTTCAGAAATGGGGCGCGTTCATTTTGTTCAGAAATGAAAATTCTCACGCAATTAGACCGCAAGCACTTTGGGTAATGGTTAGGAGGGCAGGCTCTAATCTGGGAGAACTCCTCCACATGCAGCTGCTGGTGTGACCTTGAGTCAGTCATAAGTTCTTTCAGAGATGTTCTCTCAAGAGCGCTCTCAGTCCCACCTAACTCACAGGACGACTGTTGTGGGGAGGGGAAGGGAAAGGAATTGTAAGCCGCTCTGAGACTCCTTCAGGTAGTGAAGGGAGGGGTATAAATTAAATTTCTCCCAGATCTCTAATCTGGGAGAAACAGGTTTGATTCCCCACGCCTCCACATGCAGCTGCTGGTGTGACCTTGCGTCAGTCATAAGTTCTCTCAAGAGTAGTCCTCGAAAGAGCTCTCTCCACCCCACTGACGGCATACTGTTCTGTATGGGGACAAGATGACAGCCTTGGTAAAGATAAATGGTGTAGATCATCCTGATCTGGGGTGACAGTTGAGAAGTCATGTGACGTGTCACCAGGTAGCTGCTGGTGTGACCTTGCGTCAGTCATATGTTCTCTCAAGAGTAGTCCTCGAAAGAGCTCTCTCAGCCCCACCTCCCTCACAGGGTGTCTGTTGTGGGGAGGGGAAGGGAAAGGAGATTGTAAGCCGCTCTGGGACTCCTTCGGGTAGTGAAGGGCAGGGTATAAATCCAATCTCTTCTTCTTCTTCTTTTACCTCACAGGGAGTCTGTTGTGGGGAGGGGGAGGGGAAGGAGTTTGTAAGCCGCTCTGAGACTCCTTTGGGTAGTGAAGGGCGGGGTATAAATCCAATCTCTTCTCTTCTTCTAACAACAACAATTAATGGTTGTCCAGATCTGGTTGGCCCAGGCTAGCCCAATCTGGTCAGATCTCGGAAACTAAGTGGAGTCGGCCCTGGGTGGTACTTGGATAGGAGGCCACTGAGGAAGCCCAGTGCTGCTACGCAAAGGCAGGTAATGGTAAACCACCTCTGAGCGTCTCACACCTTGAAAACCCTACGGGGTTGCCATAAGTCTGCGGCGACTTGACTTCATTTTTTGCATCCAGTGGCCCACCCAGTCCAACACTCTGTGCCACACAGTGACCAAAACCCAGGTGCCATTAGGAGGTCCACCAGCGGGGCCAGAACTCCAGAAGCCCTCCCACTGTTGCCCCCCAAGCACCAAGAATACAGAGCATCACTGCCCCAAACAGAGTGTTCCCTCTATATCTTGTGGCTAATAGATGGGCCTCTGCTCAGGACTTATCCTGATAATATTTAATGCCGAGTTCAATAATACAGTCATATAATTATATAAAGCCAAGGTGTTCTTAGAAGCAACAGCAGTAATACAGGAAAAAGTCCCAAAAATGTCAGTGTGTTTCACTCTTGTTGTATTGTAATTCCGTAGTCCAACTTGACATACATTTGTCATAGAGTGGACTCATATAGTTCCAGGAAAATCCATATAATCTTGAAATCCGTAAACCATAGAGACGTGTAGTCTGGATGCAAGCTGCCGCATTTCGAATAATTCTTCTTCAAAACCAGTAGGCCACAGTGGGACCCAATCTCAGTAGAAGCACATACAGAAGCCAGTTTATTCAGTCATAAAGGATCATGGGGACTGAATAAACTGGCTTCTGTATGTGCTTCTACTGAGATTGGGTCCCACTATAGCCTAATGGTTTTGAAGAAGAATTATTCGAAACGTGGCAGCTTGCATCCGCGTCTCTATGGTTTATGGATTTCAAGATTATATGGATTTTCCTGAAACTATATGAGTCCACTCTATGATGAATGTATGTCAAGTTGGACTACGGAATTACAATACAGCAGGAGTGAGACACATTGAAATTTTTGGGACTTTTTTCTGTCCTACTGTTGTTTCTTGCAAGAACACCTTGGCTTTATATAGTTACATATGACTGTATTATTGAACTCTGCATTAAATATTAGTTTTATGCATTTTTGTTTATTTTTAGCCAGCGGGGGTTTTTTTTTGGTGCTTTGTGCAATTTCATGTACGCTCGTTCCCCCTTCCTTTTTGGTCTCCAGGACTTATCCTGAGTCAGAACCAGTGCTCCTTCTAAGCTGAGTCAGTGTGAGCCAGCTCACAGTTTTTTAGCCTCCGTCTCACACATTTTTGTCTTCGCTCAGGAAGGAGGGCTCCGGAGCAAACTAATTCATGCAGCCGCCCAATTGCCCGCTCACAGCTTCAGTGCCCGTAGCTCACAAAGCAGAATGTTTGCTCATAAGACTCCACAGCTTAGAGGGAGCATTGGTCAGAACTGTGGTCTAGCAGGGACAGTGTTGTCTCCTTTGACTGGTAGCGGCTCTGCAGCAGGCCTGGCCTGTATCAAAAGGGGACCGTAAGGAAACAGACAACGGAGCTGCGGTGGCTCAAGTGGTTAAGACGCTGAACTGCAGGCTGTGGAAGGTCGGTAGTTCAGCATTTCGAGACCTGGGTGCCGCATGATGGAGTGAGCTCCCATCTTTAGTTCCAGTTCCTGCCAACCTAGCAGTTCGAAAGCAAGAAATTGCAAGTAGATAAATAGGTACTGCTTCGGTGGGAAGGTAACAGCGTTCCGTGCGCCTTGCTGTTTAGTCATGCCGGCCACACGACCACGGAAACGTCTTCGGACAGCGCTGGCTCTTCGGCTTTGAAATGGAGATGAGCACCGCAACCCTAGAGTCGGACTCGACTGGCTTTCAAGCAAGGGAACCTTTACCTTTTTACCTAAGGAAACAGACAGGAAATCATTGAGGCAGATTTTTTTAAAAAAACCCAGCTGAAGACCCGAAGCTTAAAACGGATGGTCAGCCTTCGGCATAAAACTTGCTCTCCTTTCTGGTAGGAATGCCCAGTGTGGACAGTTGCAGTGCCAAGGGGGCAGCGCCAACCTTACGAAGCAGAACAAGATAGGGATGTCGCCCGCCTGCCCACATAACACCCCGTCTCCTGTGGATGACATTCTGGACCTGGCCATGGTGTTGCCGGGCACAGCTTGTGGGCCGGACAAGGTGAGTCGCGTCGGCAGGGGCATCACGGGGTACTCGCAGCGCCGAGCCAGGTGTTTCCTGTGGCAGCCCCCTTCCCTCTAAATCTGCATTTCTCCATTTGCAGTTCTGCATTGATCAACGGTGCCAGGATCTCCCTGCGCTGAAGTTTCCCGTCTGCCTTTGCAACGGGCATGGGGTGAGTGTCGGGAACGAGGGCTCTTAGCTGAAGAGACAGAAGATTTGGGGCTTGGTATTGCCTTCTGGTTTAGAGAAGAAGAGAGATTGGATTTATACCCCGCCCTTCACTACTCAAAGGAGTCTCAGAGCGGCTTACAATTTCCTTTCCCCTCCCCTCCCCTCCCCTCCCCACAACAGACACACTGTGAGGTAGGTAAGTGGGGCTGAGAGAGCTCTTTTGAGGATTGCTTGTGAGAGAACAGCTCTGAGCGAACTTGTGACTGACCCAAGGTCACACCAGCAGCTGCATGTGAAGGAGTGGGGACTCAAACCCAGTTCTCCCAGATTAGAGTCCGTGCTTCTAACCACCACATCAAACTGGCTCTCCGGAGTTTTCTACAGTTTTCAGAAACTTAGAGCTGGAAGGGACCTCAAGGGTCACCTAGTCCAACCCCCTGCACAAGGCAGGAAACTCATGCCTCCCCCTCCGCTCCCCCAGTGACCCCTGCTCTACAACCCAGCGGAAGGCAAAAAACCTCTAGGATCCCTGAGCCAATCTGACCTGGAAGAAAATTCCTTCCTGATCCCAAAGCAGCGATCAGCATTTCCCTGGGCGTGTAAGGAAGGGCCACGAGAACTAAGCACTGAGGCAACCCTTCCTGCCCTCCCTCTCATGATCTGCCCAAGTTCACAGAATCAACATGGCTGTCAGATGGCCATTGAGCCTCTGCTTGAAAACCTACAAAGAAGGAGAGCCCACCACCTCCCGAGGAAGCCTGTGCCACTGAGGAACCGCTGTAACTGTCAGGAAGTTCTTCCTCACATTTAGCCGAAAGCTCTTTTGATTTACTTTCAACCCGTCGTTTCTGGGGCAACAGAAAACAACTCCGCCCCATCCTCTCTATGACAGTCCTTCCAGTCCTCGAAGATGGCTATCCCGTCACCTCTCAGTCGTCTCCTCTCCAGGCTAAGCATATTATCGTAAGCCACCTTAAACCACAAGGGAAAGGCCGCCGGGATATAAATGGTTTAATAAATTAAAGAAACACGAAAGGGGTCCTTGGTAAAGGAGCTGCCGAAGCTCCTCGGGGACTTCTAAACCTGGTCAGTCCATGGCTGTCCCAGATGTAGTCCTGAGGAAATCGTATTGGATTCTGTGACTAGGGAAAGCCAGTGTGGTGTAGGGGTTAAGAACGGCGTACTCTAATCTGGGAGAACCGGGTTTGATTCCCCACTCCTCCTTCACATGCAGCCAACTGGGTGACCTTGGGTCAGTCACAAGTTCTCTCAGAGCTGTTCTCTCAGGAGCAGTTCTCAAAAGATCTCTCTCAGTCCCACCGACCTCCCAGGATGTCTGTTGTGGGGAGGGGAAGGGAAAGGGGGTTGCTCTGGAACTCCGAGTGAAGGGCGGGGTACAAATCCAGTCTCCTCCTCCTCCTCCTCCTCCTCTTCTCCTTCTTCCTTCTTCTTCTGGAAGCTGCTCTGGTTCCATGGATTTGGAGAACTTGGGTTGCAGGATCTTGGCTTTTTGCAGCCATCAAGCGGCTTGGAAAAAGGGGGCAGGATGTGGGGGGGGGGCAGAGGTGTCTGGCTGCTACTGGGGGAATTGGCCCTGGATTGGGTGGACTCTTGGTCCAACCCAGCAAAACCATTCTGAGGGCACTCAGGGGTGGGGTTAAATGCACGGACTCTAATCTGGGAGAACCAGGCTTGATTCCCCACTCCTCCACTTGCACTTGGCTGGATGACCTTGGGCAAGCCATAGTTCTGAGGAGAGCTGTTCTCTCAAGGGCAGTTTCTGTCAGAGCTCTCTCAGCCCCACCGACCTCACAGGGTGTCTGTTGTGAGGAGAGGAAGAGAAAGGAGTTTGTAAGCTGCTCTGAGACTCCTTTGGGTTGTGAAGGGCGGGGTATAAATCCAATCTCTTCTTCTTTTACCTCACAGGGTGTCTGTTGTGGGGAGGGGAAGGGAAAGGAGTTTGTAAGCCG